ATGCTCTGGATAAAGAAAAACTTCCTGGAGTCCGTGCTGAAATTGCCCCTTTTCATCTCTAAACCTGTGTCCTCTTGTTCTTCTGTCCTGTTGATTCTAATAACAATAAAAAAAATTAACTCTGTCGATTGTCAGTAAATTACCCCTTCAGCTACCAACACATTAACTGTCCGATGACAGAGAAACAAAGCTAAGCTTAGAATGTTAATAACTGAATCACTTTCAATTCCTCTCCATCCAACAATTTGATTTCCTATTAATTAGAAATGGGAGACTGCCAAAGAGCACTTCTGCTCAGCATTTTTTTCAAGCACAGGAAGACCTCGGATATCTGATGGGCTCCTCGATTATACACATACAATGTTTGAGCAAGTTCCCATCAGAAAAACAGCTTGTGACTGGTGTTGCTGACGTGCATCTCAAGGGAAGAGAAACCTGACAGCCAGTGTGGCTTTATAAGGGATAGACCTTCCGTGACCAACTCTGTGCTACTTGATGGACAGTGCTGAGAAAGATGTGGAAGTGAACCAGTCCAAAACACCTGTTTCTCCATTTGTCTACCAAAATTTCTACCCTTAAACAGTCACCTTCCTTTCCTCTTTCTGAGCTTGAGACTGTGACCCCTTGTTGCGCGATTCTTGACTACAAGTACAGGGTGTCCACAAAGTCTTGTTAACCCCATGTTTTTTTTTCTGCAGTGCACTGACCAACAACTGAAACATGTGGCAGAATGATGATAATTGTATTTAGAAGTAATTCATTCTATTCAGTAACAAGCGTTTAACTGTAATAGACGTCCAGAGGATCAGTGTGTATGTGTGTCTGTGTGAGTATCTGTGTGTGTGTGTCTGTGTGAGTGTGTGTGTCTGTGTGTGAGTGTGTGTGTCTGTGTGTGTGTCTGTGTGAGTGTGTCTGTGTGTGTGTTTGTGTATGTGTGTGAGTCTGTGTGTGAGTGTGTCTGAGTGTGTGTGTCTGTGTGTGAGTGTGTGTGTTTGTGTGTGTGTGTCTGTGTGAGCCATCATTTTCATGGGAGATGATGATCCATCACGTTTGGTGTAACATCTTCCGTAACATGGATGGAGTGAGGAGGCGATGGTGCATCTCTGACGGCTTGTTCCAGCTTCTCCCGAGTCTCGTATCACTGTTTGGTGACTTTGTGGACACTCTGTACATTGTTGAAATCTAACTGATCTCTACCCTTTATGATCTGGAAAACATCAATAAGATCTTTCCTCCTGTATGAACATTGCCGGTTTCTCCTCACAAGCTCAGTATCTAATCCCATGGCCCACATTGCTCACCCGTGCCACCACAATCCCGGTGCTGGGATTTCCCCACTGCACATCTGTGCACAACGCTTCCTTGTTCTCCAGGAATCCATTCCTGTTCAAGAGGTTATTAAAGAGAACTGATGTTTCTACCATTGATTTTTACTCATTTTTACAGAAATATCGAACCAGACACCACATCTGATTCAGACGAATTCTGGTATTGATCTGTGCAGTTGTTGCTAAATGTGTTTAACTGTACTCCTCCAGGATGGCATTGGATCACTGAATTGCTAGAAATCTATATTCTATTACCTGGAATCTGTGGATTGGATTAGACAATACAAGGTGTGCCTAATGTCCCAGAGCCAGAAAGGTAGTGACCCCCAACCAATGAGACCATTTGTCAAGATAGACAGGGCTCTGATTCCACCCCTCCCCCCAAACACACACACACACACAGTACTGGCTGAGCACCCAAGATGTGTGTGGGAGTGGGGGGCGGCGAGTGATCAATAATTTCAGTTCAGTGCCTCATCAAGTGGAGGTCTCTATTTAAGGCATCTTAGCAGTTTCTAAATATTTACAGCAAGCATGAGCATGAGCTCAGAGCAGCTTTTCTCAGAATGAGAGACTAGGGACATCTGAGGACATTGTAATGTCAATGAGACCTTCACCTTTTAAGACCAGAAATTCCTACAACTGTTGCTCCCTACCTACGTCATTTCCTCTTCTGATCATGGACAGCCCTGGCTCACTTCTCTTGGATGTTGCTGGGAATGGAAAACAGAGCAGAGGTTACAAAGTTCTCACAGATCTACTCCGCACTACCTACTGTGCAGGGATTCAAAACCCGTTCGTTTTTAAGTCAATTTCATACAGGAAGCAGCCTCAGGTTCCTACAAAGCACAAACCATAGAGTTCTCAGAAAGATTCATACCCAACATACCCAAACCCATACACTCCAGTATTAACATTACTCTTATGCCAGCACAACTCAGAGGAGAGGCAGGGTGTTATCCCACACAGCTTTGAAAGCTGGAATGACAGCCGCAGGAAGCACTGCTTTTAAACTAATTGACTGCTTTAGTGCCCAGTTCCATAGTTAGTGGTTAGAGAGAGGACCCGGTTCTATTCCTGAGTGGGACGGAATCTAAGGCAAATTTCCTTAAAAACACATCTCTGTTTACCGAGCAGTAATAGGAACCCAATTGTTAAGTCGATTGGTGGATCGCTTTCCAGGGATTATTAATCCCTCAAAAAAAATTGATCACTACTCATGATTGTTTGTGGGACGCTGCTGTGCGCAATTGGCTGCCACTTTTTGCCCACAAAGCACACAGTCGCTCCACTTTACAATATATTCTGTGAAGCGCTTTGAGACGTCCCAAAGACACGATAAGACGCTATATTAAATGCAAGGATTATTATTATAGCTAGGTGCAGAGAGATACAACGATAAAGCAAGCCAACATCAAAATGTGAGGGGTAAGGACATAAAGACAGTTCAGCCCTGTGCTCCCTGCATGACTTCCCTCCTTTCCCTATGGGAAAGTGTAGAGCATTAGGAAAGATCTGAGCAGCATTTGACATGATGCATCCCACGGTCCCTTCGCCTTGCTTCCTCCCTTGCCTCCTTGAAGGCCGACTCAAGACCCTCTTCTTTGATCGTGCCTTCAGTCTCCCGTCCACCTCTCTGCCTTCCCTCACCCTTCCCCCATGCTCGGGTCCAATTACCCCTGACTATGCAGCGCCTTGGGACTTACTCCTGACATGAAAGGTGCTCTATAAATGTAATTTTGTTGTTGTGTTGTAATGGGATGAGGGCAAATAGCTCCAGCAGGGGAGTTAGCATCAGCAGACACAATGGGCCAAAACACCTCTCTCTGGCTATAAACTCTGAGTGCAAGGATTTTGAGCTGATCTTACACTCAGTTGCTTAGAATGGTCGTGGCTGCCATGTCCAGAAGAGACCCAAAGAGGCCGTTAAAAGGTAATAGAAAAATCTAAATAACGAAAGATATCCGGTGCCCATAGACCTGAACCTCAGCACCTTTACTTGTCAACCAGGTCCTCTCGACAGCCTTACGTCTCATGTCAGGGTCTATTGTTAAATAACGCCTGATCTAACCTCCCCTAAAAAAATATTTGCCTAATTCAAACCTATATCCCGCTGCACTTTGGAACAATGGCAATCAATGTGGTACCTCTAACTGCTTCCCCAGAGTCAGCAATTACTGTAGTTGGGGGCAGTCTATTGCATTGCAAGTCTTAGTGTATTTTGACAGCCCGTTTGGCTTTTGGCTTCCTCGGTGTAGAATCACATCATCTAGTTGTTCTAGTTCTGCACAAACTAACCTCTACCCAACTTGAACTACAAATAGGTGTAGTTCTAAATATATATATATACATACATATATATAAATATATCTGCACTAGATGTGAATCCCAACCATGCACATTATATCAACTCTGATTCATCTGCTTATTTTCACATACAACCCATCGCGATACTCAGCTATTTCCCCCCTCTTGATCTAATGTTACAAATGGAACCGATTTAGCTGAAAGGGCTCCACACGAGTCACTGTTAGAAAAAAACATGATTAGTTTTAATTGACCTCCTGCTGATTGCACACTGCTTTCCTGCTCCATCCCCAGAGCTCTTCAGCAACGAATAGACAAATAGGAACCTCACAGCTGTGCTGCTATCCTTCTCCCCACAGCCCCTTGCCTCGCTGGCTTCAGGACACACTTCCAGGTCTCACTGGTCATAGAATTATACACACAGGAGGCCATTCGTCCAATCGTGCCCGTGCCAGACAAGCTGGTCAACCATCAGAGGCTCAGTGGTTAGAGCACTCGCCTTGCAAGCTAGAGATCCTGGGTTTGATTCCCGGCAGGGCAGATTGTTGGACAAGTTTCCTTACTCCACATGCACCTGTTTACCTAGCAGTAAGTAGGAACCTGGTTATTAGTCGACTGGCGGATAGCTTTTCCGGGTGTAATAATTCCTTCAAAAAAAAATAATGAATTGGTCACTTAATCCATGAATGTTTGTGGGGACGTTGCTGTACGCAATTGGCCGCCGCGTTTCGCCAACAAAATTTACAGTGAATTCACTTTTCAGTGTATCTTGTGAAGCGCTTTGAGACATCTCGAAGATGTGATAAGGCACTATATCAAATGCAAGGATTATTATTATCAACAGTGCCTTAGATTTCTGGGTCCTTTCAGACATGTTCATTTCATCAACCTGGAAAATCCTATTGGAATTGAAACCCAGAGCCTTGCTGTCCCAAATCTCATTCTAAACAGATTGAAGTGTGAATTCAAGCCCCAAGTTGGGACTTGAAGCCATGCTAATGGAGCTTAGGGGAGCGCTGCATTGTTGGACCTTGTGCTGCTTTCAAATGAACCATTAAATTGTTTGCCTGTTCAGGTGGATGTTAAAGACCACATGGCACCAAAATCCCCCCTTCCTCACCTAGCACTTTCCTCCCCCCACAGACCCAACGCTCTCCCCCATCCCACACTTTGCTTGAAAGCATATGTGAGTGTGAATGTGGAGCGGGACAGGATAAGGCAGCATTAGGCTGGGTTGTGATTGCACCCCCCCACCCCCCCACCAAATCCCAACTCAGCACGCCACCCCTCACCGGTGCAAGGATGATCATTTGGGGGTCCACTGTGAATAAATGGTGTCTGGAATAGAGGAAAGTTCTCACTCACCAACCACCAGTTATGTACATCGAGGTCCAATTTCATGTTAGCTTTAGTCCAGAGTGGCAGAATGTCAGGGTTGAAGTGCTCGTCGAACCACTTGGATACTCCAGGGTCTCCCACACAGCGCTCACAGCCACACGTTTTCTGCGCAGTGACGTCTTTGCTCAACTTCTGTGCGCCCGTATAACTGGGCACCAGCTTGATGCGATGGTTCTCATCCTGGGCCTGGGTCTCCAGGTAGGCCATGTTGGTCACTCCTGTCAGTGTGTAGGTGAAGAAGAGCGAGATCACAAAGGCGGCCAGCACTGCGATGGAGAGGAGACAAACCCGGCGGGAGCACTTCATCATCACAACTTTGCGGTTCTGAGCTATCCTCCCCGGAGCTCGCTGCTGACGGAATTTGATCCTGTTTCTCCTTTTGGGAAGTGGCTGAACCTGGTGCCCGCTTCCTCTCTACCTTGGTCTTGGCGATTGCTCAGAGACAGGTTGCATTATCCTGGGAAAACGCTTGGCGCACTCAGCCTCAGAGCCCGTTGCCGGCTCCCTTGGTAGCTCCTTATTCGTGAGAGAATTAAACCAGCGCTGGGATTGCTGCTCTGTACGATGTTGGATTAATTCCTGGGGATGGACATTCCAGTGAGACCTCTGGGGGTTGTGTGGTGGGGGGTGGGTTGGCGGTTAGATCCTGGATGTACAAGGCACCTGCACCACAGCACAATTGCCTGATGAATCTCTCTCGTCTTAACGGCAGTTTTGTTTCCGATTTCACAGTACGCCATGCATGCCCATCGTTTTCCTGGGAGGTATGCCTGTGACAGAGCCGTTGCCAAGACGACGACTGATATATAAAAAGAGAGGTAAATCAAAATCCGCAGACGAGAATGCTGTGTGTTGTTCCTCCCTCACATGTCCTCAGTTTGCCCGTTACTGCCATTCAAGCTCTCTTAATCCACTTTCAAACAAGAGATTACAGCAACGCGACACACAGATTTTCCCCTCATGAGGAGCAGGACTAATTGGACGGGTGTGCTTGGCTTCTTAAACTTGCTCCAGCTTTCTCCCAGATGCCTCCGCTCAGCCACACTTGCCCCACACTTGCCCCAAGGCAGAGAGAGTGCCTCACACCACTTGAAAAATCTGGAACAATCACAAAAGGGAGAGAACAGGAGAAAGGGTCAGACTATATTCTGTGAGGAAATCAAAGGGAGCGGTCCCCCTTACTCTCTGCAAGGCTCGCGTTCCTTCAAAGCACAAGTGTTGGCTTTGGGTAGCGTATCTGTGTGCTGTACAAACAGACCAGTGTTCGGAATATTACTGAGCATCATTGTTCTCCTTTACAATGACCTGACTGCCAACCAAAACCCGATCTGTCGTCTCGATCATCCCAAATGAGGAGGAGTGCAAAACAGAATGCCATGCATCAAATATTCACATTGCAAATCTAACCGAGCAGATCAATGAAAGAGCCTTAGCCGAGCGCAGCCTCTGAGTCACAATGTTATGATTTCAAGCCTGATATCAGGACTTTGAACTCCTATAGTCTAGACCAGTGTGGTCCAACAGGCGGCCCACGGGTTGATTTTGTCCAGCCTGCAAACCACTTTTTTTTTTCACTGTTTGACCTCCTGGCTAGGCTTCTCTTCTGGTCGGTCTCCGTGATGCAGAGCGGAGAGTGGCAGGAAGAGGGGTGGAGCCGGAGGTATCCCACCACACCCCTCCCTGTCACGTTTGGTGCTGCCTCGAGCCTCGTGCAGCCTGGTGAGACACAGCGAGCAGCAGCAATTGTAAAACTACAGCACTAGGAGTCTCAGTAGGAAAAGCAAGATAAGATATGGAAAATAGAGGATTTCAGTGTTAAGTCGGAAGTGGATGATTTCTTTATTGAAAGTAATAGAAAACCTCAGTGCCTCATTTGCTTGCGAGTCCTATCTGTGTTGAAGGAGTTCGGAGTAAGTTTTGCAATTCTGGATTAATCTGTTTTGGTTTTGTTGAGTGTTCTCTGTCAGGGCCGCCATAAGCTGAATTGCTATCTTGTGTTTTGACTTTAATACATTAAAAAACGTGATGCATATATTTCCATTTAAGATGAACATTATTAAATAACAGTCACACAATCTAAACCCAGCATTTCTGTATGATCCGTTTACGTTTCTGGAAGGGAAAAACAAAAATATTGCAACTTGGATTTATATGGCGGCCTCTATGCTGGACGGTGTCTCAGAGCTTCACAGTAACGGATCCTGGGGCCGAGCCAGGGGGAGGGAGAGGGGCCAGGGGAGCGGGAGGAGCCGGGGGAGTGGAGGAGCCGGGGGAGGGGAGGAGCCGGGGGAGGGGAGGAGCCGGGGGAGGGGAGGAGCCGGGGGAGGGGAGGAGCCGGGGAGTGGAGGAGCCAGGGGAGGGGGAGGAGCCAGGGGGAGGGGGAGGGGGAGGAAGGTGACCAAAGGTGCAGTCGAAAAGAAAGGTCTTCAGCAGAAACCTGAAAATGGGAAGGGAGGGGGTGAGGGGGGGGGAGGGAGGAAGGGAGTTCCAGAGCCTCGGGGCACAGTGGCTGAAGGCACAGCCGCCGAGGGTGGAGCAGAGGACTCGGGGGACGAGGAGGAGGCCAGACCCGGTGGGACGAAAGCAACGACCACTATTTTGAGGAGAGAGGTCAGAGAGGTCGGGGGGTGCAAAGGAGTGGAGGGATTTGAAGACAAGGATGAGGATCTTGCTTATGTGGCCTGAGGACATTTCTCAAATATGGCATCCAGCCCTCAACATCCAAAAGGTTGGACCACCCTGGTCTAGACCGACGCTCCAATGCAGTGCTGGGGGTCTGCTGCATTGTTGCAGGTGCCGTCCTTTAGATGAGACGTTATACCAAAGTCCCGACTGTCTCTTCAGGTGGACATTAAAGATCCTGCAGCACTGATCGAAAAGAGAAGGGAGTTTCTCTCTCAAGGTGTCCTGGCTAACAATCCCCCAGATAAAATCAGTCATTCACTTCATGGCTGTTTGTGGGACACTGCAGTTGCATTCACCTACAAAATACACAGTCACTACATTGCAGTATATGCAGTGGAGTCCTGTAGCTCAGTGGTTAGAGCACTCGCTTTGCAAGCGAGAGACCTGAGTTCAATTCCAGGCAGAGGGCAAAACCTTGGGCAAGTTTCCTTACTCCACACAGAGCCTAATAATAATCCCTCCAAAACCAAAAACAATAATAAATTGGTCATTTTCAATCTACGACTGTTTGTGGGACATTGCTGTGCGCAATTGGCTGCCGCGTTCGCCCACAAATATACAGTCAATTCACTTTACAGTGTGTTCTGTAAAGCGCTTTGGGACGTCCTCCCGACGTGAAAAGCGCTATATCAAATGCAAGGATTATTATTATTATTATTATTATATCCTGTGAAGCAATTTCAGGCATCTTTCTGACCTGAAATGCACTGTATAAAATGTAAGGATTAGTTATAAGTTACTCCTGGGTGTGACCCTTCATCAGTGCTGGATGGACGGATGGGAGAGGTTGTGTACAGTAATGGCTAAAGTGTCGCTCCTCGCTGATATTTCCACTTCTAGTGATGAAGGGTCTCCCCGGAGCATTAACCTGTGTTTCTCTTTCAAATGCCTACTGTGCACTTTCAGCATTTTTGCTGTTATTATAGATTCTCAGCATTTCAAGGTACTGTTATAATCTCTATCACCACTTTAATAATAGTTTATTAAGTCTGACAATGAAGAAACATTTGTGCCGGGGTGGGGGGGGGAGGGGGGGGCAGAGAGGCTAGGAGAGGATATGGAGTCGGGATGGGGGATAGGATTAGAGGAAGCTGTGAACCTCGAATAAACTTGAAACTTCTTTCAGTTTTGGAGTGAAAAGTGTTCATTTTATTTGAGTGATGTTACACAGTTCTGAGGAACGGTGGCTGAGAACTGTCTGTGGTGGAAGAGAGCCCGGTCATTGTGGGTTTTGAGGGAAAGGAGACAGGAGTATGAAGGCTAAAAGCTAGAGGCTTGAAGGGCTGGCTGTGAGGATAGGGCAGTGGGAATTTAATGAACAACTTGCACTGAGAGCCAGTGTAGGCTCAATGGCCTTCTTCTGCGGTGTAAATGTCTACAATTCTATATTGCCTTCCTCTCTATTCAGTCAGCAAATTGAATCACCCAATAAAATTATTCAAACCTACAGCTTGAATGATGCATTACTTGTACTAAGTATAAGAAACGTCAACCAATATATTAGACAAAATAGCATTAGAGGGAAATAACAGAACAGACTTAGGTGATCCTGACCACAAATGGTTCATTCTATATTGAGTTCATATAAAAACTAATATATATTAATGATCTGGACTTGGCCATAGGGAGCACTATTTCCAAGTTTGCAGATGATACCAAGTTAGGTCGGGTAGTAAATAGTGAAGAAGATTGTGACGGACTGCAGGCAGACATACACAGAATGGTGGAATGGGCTGACATGTGGCAGATGGATTTCAATGTAGATAAGTGTGAGGTGATACACTTAGGTAGGAAAAATGATAAGAGGCAATATAGACTTGGGAGCTCAATCTTAAGGGGGTGAACGTACAGAGAGATCTGGGCGTTCAAGTAAGCGATTCATTAAAGGTAGCGGGGTAGGTAGATAGGGCAGTAAAAAGGGCATTTGGTGTACTGAGCTTCATTAGTAGGGCATAGAGTATAAGAGTAGGGAGATTATGCTTAATCTGTACAAAACACTGGTTAGGCCTCAGCTGGTGTATTGCGTCCAGTTCTGGGCACCGTACCTCAGGAAGGACATTAAGACACTGGAAAGGGTGCAGAGGAGATTCATGAGAATGATACCAGGAATGGGAAAGCTTAGCTATGAGGACAGTGGAGAAGTTAGGACTTTTCCCATTAGAGCAGAGGAGGTTACGCGGGGACCTGATAGAGGTCTTCAAGATCATGAAAGGTTTCGATAGGCGAGATAGGGAAAAGCTGTTTCCGCTGGTAGGTGTGTCTGTGACTCGTGGTCACAGTCTTAAGATATCTACCAAAACAAGCAGAGGGGAGGTTAGAAGAAATCTTTTCACTCAGTGAGTTGTTGGAATTTGGAATGATCCGCCCGAAAGGGCAGTGAAGTCCGATTTGATAACAGCTTTTAAGAGAGAACTGGATAGGTATCTGGGGAAGATGGGTTTGTGGGGTTATGGGGAGAAAGCTGGTGATTGGGGTTAGTGAAAGTGACGCTCTGTCAAAGAGCCGCACAGACTCGATGGGCCGAATGGCCTTCTTCTGTGCCGTAACATTCTATGACTCTATGATAAAGAATGATAATACCGGGAGCAGCAGAACAGACTTGATAGGCTGAGTAGGTTCTTTACGTCCTGAAGATTTCTATGATTCAAATCAGACAGGTCAGTAATTTCAATGGTCCTTTAGGAGTTTTACTTCTCCTTTGCAGGTAATGTGCTATTCTCCTCTGCCTCACAAGTCTGGTTCCTGAGCCAGGTGGGTCCGTAGTACTCCAGAGCACTGCCCAGCCCAGCCCGGCTCATCAGCAGCACCTGGAAGGGCAGACAGTCACTGAAGGCAGGGAATCATCCCACGCAGCTGCTGTTAACTGTGCAAGCCAAAGCCCTAACTGAGAGGGTGGTCCTAGCTGGACAGGTAACAGGCAACTTGATAGTTAGTGCTTCTCAGTGACATTATTGACCCTTTCTCATCAACATGATGTTAATACTTCTGCTTTTGTGCAGACTGACAGTTTATGTTGTGATGGCCACTGGCCAAATAACGGCAGTGGAAACACAAAAGGTGCCTGATATTCAGGCCCATTCACCGACCTGCACTTCCGTTTGGGGATCAACATTTGCCCAAATAAGGTGTATTTACACATGTGAGGATCGTCAGCTGTTACGAGTGCTGTGTGTAAGTCCAGGGAACATAAATGTTGCAGAAGCTCAAATGCAGCAAAGCCTCCAGTTTGGTAGCACATTTCTTGTCTCCAAAGCCGCAATATAAAAGCATAATAATAATAACGCAAATCCTGACGTGGGGCTTGAACCCACAATCTAACTCTGAGGCGAGAGCGCTACCAACTAACTAAGCCATGTTGACACGCATCCACTGTACAGGTTGACAATTACTGGAGGCGCATAACAGGGTTATTA